TGAGTGAGTCCATGAGTACGTTTTCTTCTCCTGGCATATGGATGGCCATGAGAAAGAAGTTGTGGGAGGTGCACCACCTCCAGAGGTTGAGTATGAGTAACAATTTGAACTAGTTTTTCCTTCACAACGGGCTTGAAGGCTTTGAGAGCCTTTACAACCGCTCTGACCTTGAAGGCATTGACATAGCCCCTGGTCTCAAGATTCAACCACTTTCCTCAAACTGTTATTCTTTTGCAACTATTCTTATTGAGATCAAGGGCTCTTCTTGTTGAAAAAGAACTCCTACACAAATGATGTCTCTTTGGGGAAATTGTACTAGCCTCCAAAGGAGGGAGCAAAGCATGGGCCCCATGAAAAAGATGAGAGGTGAGTTCAGGAGCAGGTTGAACACGCCAAGAAACCAGGATTAAATGGGCCTCATATGGATGTCATTGATGTTGTCGATTCCATGAATCCAAGTAGAAATAGAATTCATTGAACTCAATGATGTCTCTTTGGGGAAATTGTGAGGGTGGTCTATGGGAGAGTTCAAAAGCTTTCTTCCTGGATGAATACTCATTATCGAAGAGAATCAAATATGTTGTTGTGTTATCCCGATTAAACAAGTTTCCCAAACAACAGAAGAGTCAAAGGAAGTCCCAGTATATTAACAACAAAACCCCAAATGCTAGAGTTCTTGCAGGCCAGAGCCCGACTGCTCATTGGAGGGAAAGATACTAGAGACAAAGTTGAAGTACTTTGGCCACATCATGAGGAGACAGGAAAGCCTAGAGAAGACAATTATGCTGGGGAAAGTGGAAGGCAAAAGGAAGAGGGGCCGACCAAGGGCAAGATGGATGGATGGCATCCTTGAAGTGACTGGACTGACCTTGAGGGAGCTGGGGGTGGTAACAGCCGACAGGGAGCTCTGGCGTGGGCTGGTCCATGAGGTCACGAAGAGTCGGAGACGACTGAACGAATGAACAACAACAACAAACATGCAAGCCATTGAACGCAAGATAAAGCTCAAGTCCTGAGTCTAAGTTGCTGTCGTCTTACAACAGGAGTTTCCAGGATCATTCTGGAACAAACACAAACCAAAATTCCAGTGCAATGTCAATAAAGCTGGCAATCCAAAAACAGCAGTCAGAAGGACAAAAAACCAAAATATAGAAGTCACAAAGATAGTCCATAATCAATTATTCAAAGAGCATCAGAGTCCAGGTTCATACCACAAAACAAGGCCGAAGCCTTGAGAGCCTGTTATCTTGCGCCCGAGTGTTGTGTAGGCCCTGCTCACAATCCCACCTGTGTCGCAAGCACGATTGGTGGAGACGAGGGACAGGGCCTTCTCCGTGGTGGCCCCCTGACTCTGGAATTCTCTCCCCAAGGACATCAGACAAGCCCCAACATTGGCAGTCTTTAGGAAGAGCTTRAAGACGTGGTTGATCCAGTGTGCCTTCCCAGAATAGGAAACTCCARGCATCATGTCCCAAATGCACTTTATTAGAGATTTAAGATTGTCTRCACACCGCACCTATYTCCAAAAACCTATCCATTTCACCTGTCATGCCCAGCATTTTWAAAAWWTKKAATCATTACATTTGGCCCGGCCTTAGTTTTAAATGYGTCGTGGTGTTATTGTCTAATGTTTATTGCTATTGTTTTAATGTTTATTGCTTGTTTTATGAGATTATTTATTATTGTATTTGTTRTGCTGTTGTTTTATTGATGTGTTGGGCCTYGGCCTCTTGTAAGCCGCACCGAGTCCTTCGGGAGATGTTAGCGGGGTACAAATAAAGGATTATTATTATTATTATTATTATTATTATTATTATTATTATTATAGAGCCTGTTTCTCTGCTAGTCATGCAGTCCTGGGAGCCTCTGAAAGCTGTCATCTGTATTATAAAAGGAGCAGTGCATTTAACCCTTCATCAGCCTGCCCTGATACACTGACTTCTGCTTGCTCTGCTTGCTGGTGGTTACTGATGAAGGCTCCTCTTCTGCAATAACTAAGCTAGGCTAAGGGCAGGGGCTGCTGCAAATTGCTGGTCTCCAACTCCACCAGCAACCCTTCCAGCAACCCCTTGTTCTCACTCTCAGAGCTGACTATGATATGTGTTTCCTATGACTTTTATCTTTTCAGTCAGAAGAAGGACAGACTTTCGAAAAGAATCATAGAATCATTGAGTTGGAAGAGACCTCGTGGGCCATCCAGTCCAACCCCCTGCCAAGAAGCAGGAATATTGCATTCAAATCACCCCCGACAGATGGCCATCCAGCCTCTGCTTAAAAGCCTCCAAAGAAGGAGCCTCCACCACACTCCAGGGCAAAGCGTTCCACTGCTGAACAGCTCTCACAGTCAGAAAGCTCTTCCTCATGTTCAGGTGGAATCTCCTTTCTTGTAGTTTGAAGCCATTCTACCGCATCCTAGTCTCCAGGGCAGAAGAAAACAAGCTTGCTCCCTCCTCCCTAGGACTTCCCCTCACATATGCATACATGGCCCTCATCATGTCTCCTCTCAGCCTTCTCTTCTTCAGGCTAAGCATGCCCAGCTCCTCATAGGGCTTGTTCCAGACCCTTGATCATTTTAGTCACCCTCCTCTGGACACATTCCAGCTCGTCAATATCTCCCTTCAATTGTGGTGCCCAGAATTGGACTCAGTATTCAAGGTGTGGTCTGACCAAGGCAGAATTGGGGGGTAGCATGTCTTCCCTGCTTCTAGACACTATATTTCTATTTGTGCAGGCTAAAATCCCATTAGCTTTTTTGCCGCTGCATGTTTAACTTGTTGTCCATGAGGAGTTTACAATGAGGCCAAGATCACAAACAATGTCAATGTCTCATTCGAACAGGTCTCAGGATCAGGCTACAACATGTCAGTCACTGAGATATGTAAAGATATAAGGCCGCTCCTACTGCACTTCAAGAACATCTGGGAAGCTGTCCGGAAGCTGAAGGGGACAACCATGAAGTGATATAATAATAATAATAATAATAATAATAATAATAATAATAATAATAATCCTTTATTTGTACCCGCTACCATCTCCCGAAGGACTCGGTGCGGCTTAGGTAAAGGTAAAGGTAGTCCCCTGACATTAAGTCCAGTCATGTCTGACTCTGGGGTGTGGTGCTCATCTCCATTTCTAAGCCAAAGAGCCAGCGTTGTCCGTAGACACCTCCAAGGTCATGTGGCCGGCATGACTGCATGGAGCGCCGTTACCTTCCCGCCGGAGCGGTACCTATTGATCTACTCACATTTGCATGTTTTCGAACTGCTAGGTTGGCAGAAGCTAGGGCTGACAGCGGAAGCTCACGCCGCTCCCCGGAATCGAACCTGCGACCATTTCGATCAACAAGCTCAGCAGCTCAGTGCTTTAACCCACTGCGCCACTGGGGGCTCTATCGGTGCGGCTTACAAGAGCCCAAATACAACAATAAAACAGCAGAAGCAGCAACAACACAATAACTCAAAAAACCAAAGCAATAACAATTAACAACACCCAATGACACAATTAAAAACAATGGCCGGGCCAATTGTAACAATTAAAATTAAAAGTGCTGGGCATGACAAGGTGGGGTGTTTGGAGGGGGATGGGCATGCAGATATCCTGAATCTCTGATAAAGTGCGTTGGGACATAGTGCTAGGAGATTCCTTATTCTGGATATGCCTTTCATTCCACTTAGAAGCAGAGAAACTCTGTAAGATCATCTGATAACTGTATGAAATATGAATCTTTCAAATCTATGGCTACAAACCAGTTGCCAATGTGCAAGAGGGGAAGGATGAGGATGAGGCTCACCATTTGGAATCGGCAAGGATTTAAATACTGCTTCTCTCAGATCTGTTTTTATGATAAATATGGTATGCAACTTGGAAAAAAGTAAAAAATACAACAATTAATGTGCCTATGTGCAGAATTAGAATGCAAATAAAATGTAATTGGTATGATCAGAATAATTTGCATCATTCTAAGAAACTGGAGGAGCACAACCCTGTCCTTGGATCTAGTTCAGAAGTGGGCAAATATGGCTCTTCACATGATTTCGGCCTAATACTCTCATCAGTAGTAAGCAACACAGTAATGGCTGCAGTAATGTTCAAAATTCAAATGTTCCCCGCCCCAATCAGGATGGTGGAAAACCATAAACTCTGGAGTTTATCATAACATAACTATACCCCTCCATAGAAGCATTGGTAATAATAGAACAATTCCTGTTGCCACCTAATTTCTCCAACAGTGTGTTCAGTTCAAGTACTAAGAGAGTTGAATGAAAAGTAATGCCTCCACCTTCGTTACTTGGATGGGAATATTTTAATAAATCAAACGCAGAAATAATCCTTAGAATGTGCTTTTTAACAACCGCTATTCATTCTTCCACATAATCACCAGACAATTGGATACATTTCTGCCAACAAAGAACAAGTATTCTGAAGCCCATTACGGAAGAAGTCGACACTCTGTTTCCGGAACCCATCGTGCAGAGATCTTCCGATACCCAAGCAAAGCAATAATATGACCTACACGATCTTGTGAAATGCTGATTATCCTTGAAATTTCTCTCTGAGTGATACGACGATCATCCTGAATCAATCTGTCAACCTTTTGCTTATGAAACTCGGTGGTTGCTGTCATAGGACGTCCAACTCTTTGTCACGTAAGTCAGATTTTCCCACCACAACATCTTTAAACCTACAGCCCAACGACGCACAGCACTCACAAAAACACATCAACACAATCACCATAAACAGCTTGCATTCTCTGATGAATCTCCTTTGACTGCACATTGCTTAAGTCGCGTTGACTGACCATCTGCACAGGGTTCCATACTTCGCACTTCGCAACACAACCGTTCAATGCTAAGGCTTCCCGCCAAAATGGAACTGTAGAGGAGAGTCTACTGAACTAGCCAGTACTTGCCACATACCAGTACTGCCATGTGTTATGAAGGTGGAGGCATTACTTTTCATTCAACCCCCGTAGTTTCTCAGGTTCACCAAATGAAACTCACACTTTTCCTGTGCCGTAACTTCTGTAGTCCACTGCTGCTGAAACAGCCACAATCAGGGCAGGCATGCCATAGCCAACCAAGTAGAAGTATTTTCTCCGTGAATGTTCACTTTCAAAGACCTCCACCAACATGATGTAGAGCTGTACTCCCTCCAGAAACATCCACGTGAACGCAGAAAGGAAGAAGAAGTGCAAGAGGGCAGCAAATACAGCACAGGCTATCTGGGAAAGCAAAAAGACAAAGTAAGAAAACTGTAGCCTGAACACAGCACGAATCTATAATGCCATATTAATGATTAGTGTGCAAATTACTGGACTGTGGAGAGAGGACCCCAGTCTTTGCAGGTGTTATTTTAACCCAGGTATAAACAAGAGTAAAATTTTTACCCTAGGTTACCCCACGTTAGTTTGAATCACTAATGAGATTACTTTCACACATTATGTGGCAGAGTTGATGGGCCCACAATCAATACTAAAACCAATCAAAACTATTAAAATGTAGGTTTTTTCAGTTGTTCAAAAGGCAATCAAGGCTTATAAGATTGAGGTAACACAGGCCACTTATTTGTCAAAGACATCAGAGGCCCTTTCACACTCACTGATTACACACGATCAGTCATAGCATTTTTGTGGATCTGAATAAGTTAGAACTGCCATATTCCTCAGGATACAGTTATGGTTGTTAAAGCAGAATCACAGAACTGTAACTATGTGGTGTAATGGACCTCAGGCCAACAGACCTCTCACAATTCAGTATTATTGCACTGGAACGATAAATGGAGTCTGGCACAAACGTTTAGGTTTAAAACACCTTCCTGCTTTGTAAATCAGTTTTTACTAATCTGCTTTTCATAGCGTACTACATAATAGTGTAGAACAGTGGTTCCCCAGATGTTTTTGGTCTTCAATTCCCAGAAATTCTAACAGCTGGTAAACTGGCTGGGATTTCTGGGAGTTGTAGGCCAAAAACATCTGGGGACCCCAGGTTGAGAACCATTGCACTAGGAGAACACTAGAAGAGGAAGGGGCACATTGCAAGTCCAACAGCACCTCAGCTGCAACAGGTTGAGAACCATTGGTGTAGAAGATGTGGAATAAAGGACTTAAATTCACCAGAGTAAATAAATGGAAAGAAAAATTATACAAGATGCGTCATAGATGGTAAGTCCTACTAAATTAGCATAAATTAATACAGATAGTGGTTACAAATGCTGAAAGTGTAAAAAGAAAGAAGGAACTTTTAAAATACTTTGAGGACCTGTCCAAAAACCCAAACTTATTAGATAGCCGTTAATTACAGATTATTTTAAAACAAAAATTTCCATTTAAACTGAAAGTATTTCTATTGGAATTAGTGTTTGATACAATTAATAAAAAGGACATTTTTTCAATATGTGGTTATGGCTGCTGGAATAATCTATGCTCGTCATTGGAAGGAAAATGCAATTCCATCTGTGACTGAATAGTTGACAAAGCTTCTCAGTTTGGCAGAACTGGAAAAAGTGTAATGCCTTTTAAAAAACAAATCAATGCAAAGATTTCAAGAGAACGGGCAACTGTTTTTGAATTATTTAAAGAAAGCTTGGGAAGACTGGTGGTAAAATTTTTTATGATAAATGATTAGAAGTGGTGGAAAGAAGAACACTGACAAGGCAAATGAGATTGAATAGAACTATTAGGTGGATATATGGGTCTGGAAGCAGTCAAATAAATTTAATTTTATATAAGACGATAATATGTGATTTTAATAGTTGGTTTTATGTTTAGATGTTTTTATGTTTAGATGGTTTTATGTTTAGATCCCTGAGGAAGCCACAGGGAGGAGGGAGCAAGCTTGTTTTCTGCTTCCCTTGAGACTAGGACAAGGAACAATGGCTTCAAACTACAAGAAAGGAGATTCCATCTGAACATGAGGAAGAACTTCCTGACTGTGAGAGCCGTTCAGCAGTGGAACTCTCTGCCCCGGAGTGTGGTGGAGGCTCCTTCTTTGGAAGCTTTTAAACAGAGGCTGGATGGCCATCTGTCAGGGGTGATTTGAACGCAATATTCCTGCTTCTTGGCAGGGGGTTGGACTGGATGGCCCATGAGGTCTCTTCCAACTCTTTGATTCTATGAATTTTTATGGTTTATAATATATATATTTATTGTATTGTATGTTCTGTTATGCAGCATTGAATTATTGCCTACTTGAAGGCTGCTCTGTCCCTTTCGGGATGAGAAGGGTGGGGTATAAATATAATAAATAAATATATAAAACCGGAGAATATATTACTTTTAGGTAAATATAGAATATGTGCTCATTTTATGCCACTTTGAGTCTCCTTATGGAGAGAAAAAGCAGGGTATAAATAAACACACAGTTATACCTTGATTTAGAAGTTTAACTCATGCCGTGACCAAGCTTTTAACTCAAAACACTCTTATCTCAAAGCAAAATTTCCCATTGAAATGTTATTAATCAGTTCCAACCACCCCCAAAACCCCTCGAAGTTTTTAGTTATGTGTTTTTAAAATAACAAAATGTACAAATGCACATTCACATAGAACAATATAAAAATAGAAATCAACTTTAAAATGGTAGAAGCACAAAGTTGTGGCAAGGAAGCACATTTGAGGCAACAAAATATGTGTTGGCCAGTGTAACAGCAAGACAAAACGTTAATATCCATGTAGAATAATAAAAAAGACAGATCAACTTTAAAATGGTAGAAGCACAAAGTTGTGGAAGGAAGCACAAAGCACAATATGAAGAGGCAGAAGTATCATTTTCTTCATACTGTACTCATTCCAGCCTCCCTCTCTCTCCATGAAGCCAAACATAACAAGAATAAAACCACACAAAATCAACTAACTCAAAGTTGCTCAAAGTGGACAATACCAAAGTGGACAGCCATCTCCCAGAGTGGACAAGAGCACAAGACACAAAGCACAGAAGCATGAGACACGGAGGCTGTTCCCTGGAAGCATTGTACTCTGGCGCTAGGATTCCAACTCACACTAATTCTTAACTCAAAATGGTGCTCTTCTGTCAAAGCAAAATCCGGACCGAGTGACAGCTCTTAACTCAAAATGTTCTTAAGTAGGGATGCTTGTAAATAGAGGTTCCACTGTACTACTACTAATAATAAAGTCAAAACTAATTCAGGAATCTGTGGCAAAGAATAATTTGAGTAGACATTGAAGGTGATGAGAACTTAGAAGACTAAGTTGAAGATTTTGGAAGGATATTAGTATGATGTGCTTATATTGACAGCATATGGATTGTTTACTTATAGATTTGTTTACTGTTAATTAACAAAAAAGATGTAAAACTCCTTCAATATGACCCACACAATACTCCAGGTGAGAAATAACTGGTGAAGAATAAAATGTTAATGGAGAAAGTAATAGTTCACCTAATGCAATTTATATTTCATTAGACATTTCTTGGGCAGCTGCTTCATATTACTGAGTTCTGTGTAATTTCTATTATTATTGTACTATTATAGTGAGAATAGTAGGAAAAGCAGGGGTTTGAGTGAGAATACCATTAGTGACTTTTTCTTGGACTGTGGAAATATGAGTAATAAAACCAATTTCCAAGTGAAATTTGTGAGTGGTCTGAATTGCTGGCTAGATTCTGCAGGGAGTGACAAGCCTTCCCATTCAATCCCTGCTACAGCATGCAGTGTTGGTATGCATTTTGTGGCCACTGACATCTTAAACTGGCTTGGAGTTGTATCACCATATTTACTTGAATCTAGTGCACCTCCATTTTTAAGACCCTGAAAAAAAGAGGATTTGCTGCCAAATGTTTTTGGTGTTTTTATATTGTTGGAAGCCGCCCTGAGTCCCTCTTCGAAGGTCGAGAATAGGACGGGATACAAATGTTCAATGTATTGCTGAAGGATTTCATGGCTGGAATCACTGGGTTGTTGTAGGTTTTTTCGGGCTATATGGCCATGGTCTAGAGGCATTCTCTCCTGACGTTTCGCCTGCATCTATGGCAAGCATCCTCAGAGGTACCTCTGAGGATGCTTGCCATAGATGCAGGCAAAACGTCAGGAGAGAATGCCTCTAGACCAGTGGTTCTCAACCTTCCTAATGCCGCGACCCCTTAATACAGTTCCTCATGTTGTGGTGACCCCCAACCATAAAACTACTTTAGTTGCTACATCATAACTGTAATTTTGCTACTGTTATGAATCATAATGTATATATCTGATATGCAGGATGCATTTTCATTTAGTGGACCAAACTGGGTACAAATATCTGATACGCCCAAATTTGAATACTGGTGGGACTGGGGATGGGGATTGATTTTGTCATTTGGGAGTTGTAGTTGCTGGGATTTATAGTTCACCTACAATCAAAGAGCATCCTGAACTCCACCAATGACGGAATTGAACCAAATTTGGCACACAGAACTCCCATGACCAACAGAAAATACTGGAAGAGTTTGGTGGGCATTGACCTTGAGTTTGGGAGATGTAGTTCACCTACATCCAGAGATTACTGTGGACCCAAACAATGGAGGATCTGGACCAAACTTGTGGAGTTTGGGGAAAATAGACCTTGACCTTTGGGAGTTGTAGTTACTGGGATTTATAGTTCACCTACAATCAAAGAATATTTTGAACTCCACCAATAATAGAATTGGGCCAAACTTGGCACACAGAATCCTCATGGCCAACAGAAAATATTGTGTTTTCTGATGGTCTTTGGTGACCCCTCTGACACCCCCTTGTGACCCCCCCCCCAGGGATCCCGACCCCCAGGTTGAGAAATGCTGCTCTAGACTATGGCCATATAGCCCGAAAAAACCTACAACAACCCAGATACAAATGTTCTTAATAATAAACAAACAAACAAATAAATAAATAAATTTAATCCGGAGCAGGAAGAAACCCTTTTAGCCAATGTTACTCCTCCTAAACATACAACTATTCAAGACAGAAATCAAAACGAAGCCCTTATTTCAGTGGTTCAAGTTTTCAATATCAGGCTGAAATCCCATGTGGGAGGCTTAAGAACCACTCGTGGAGTCTGTCCAGTTAATCCTCAAAGAAACTTTTAACACAAAGACTGGACAGAGAGGGGAAAGAGAATAGAAAGAAGATACAAGAAGGAAAGGGAGAATGAAAAGGTAAAGATAATAGAATGAAGGTATATGTTTCAAGGCCTGCGGATGGTGAGGAACCAGCCCTGGCAAGCCAAGGAGGAAGATGCGAAGATGGCCACGGTGCCTTCACCGGTTGTTTGCCTCTTTCTCCTAGGCTCTTGGGGCTGCCTGGTGCTTTGCTTGCTCTCCACCGGCTGCTTCATTGACCACTTCCCAGCTTGCCCCTTCGCTGGCTGCTTTGCTGGCACTCTGGCTCCAGAAAGGGAGAGGAAAGGAGTTGGAGCTGCGGCAGCAGCAACGCACAAAGGCTGCCTGGTTTGGCAAGAGGGAGGAGAGGGATGCTGGAAGGATGGGGGGCAGTTTAGGCATGATTCTAATGTGCATTGAATATAATTCACACCCCAATTTTGACGAAGCAATTTAGCCAAAAAAGGTGTACATTAGAATTGTGTAAATATGGTAAATGGTCAATGCAAATGGCTGTTTGCTCACAAATTTGTGATGTTTTAATTATGTCCACTGAAAGATAATCTGTTTAAGTATCATGACTACTAAGCCTTCAATTTTCAGGAGGACAAGCAATGATGCTTGAATGTTGGAACACAATGAAGGTAAAATATTATTTTGATGGAAGGTTACCGGCTGGTCAGCCCTGTCGATCCCAATGAGGAAAAGAAGCTCTGCCACAAACAGGCTGATACACAAGTTTTTATGGATAGTGTTTCTGTCACTCTGGAGCCCACGAAAGAAGCAGAAGGTAAAGATACAGAACAGGAGGCAGACAATGGACAGGAGAATGCCGACCCAGGTAATGACATCCAGGAGTGGGTCGCGGACTGCATCACCATGCTGCAAACATAACAGAAAGAAAATTAGTTAGCAGCCTCACACAAGTGATTCAAGTCTGAGTAAACTCAACGTGTCTGAAACAATCCACATGCCAGTCTCTAGTGAGGACAGTAGTGTATTAACTATGATCTAAGGAATGCCTACAAATGTTCTCATTCTCAAGAAGAGCATCAACTGCTTTGAAATACTTCGCATTTCCATTATGAAAAAAACTTAAGCGTTTTGCACAAAAAGCAAAAGTCATATGAACAAAAATATTTTCTTTACAAAACAAATTCTGATCAAATTTTTTGCATAAGAGAACCCAAATCTCCCAAACCATTGAAAATTTGCAAGAACTTCCATAATGTATTGTCAAAGGCTTTCATGGCCGGAATCACTGGGTTGTTGTAGGTTTTTTTTGGGCTATATGGCCATGTTCTAGAAGCATTCTCTCCTGATGTTTCGCCTGCATCTATGGCAAGCATCCTCAGAGGTAGTGAGATCTGTTGGAACTAGGAAAAGGGGTTTATATATCTGTGGAATGACCAGGGTGGGACAAAGGACTCTATTCTGTTGGAGCTAGGTGTGAATGTTTCAACTGACCACCTTGATGAACATTTGATGGCCTGGCAGTGCCTGGGGCAATCTTTTGTTGAGAGGTGGTATGTCACCCGGTTGTCTCCTTTGCCTGTCAGCTGAGGGGCCAAGGATGGCAGAGCCCCTTCCCTCTCCAAGCCCACTTGCCTCTCAGCTGAGAGGCCAAGGAGAAACACTGCTTTCCAAACCTGGTTTTCCTTCACCTATAAGCTGAGAGTCCAAGAAGAAGAGCCCCTTCCCTCTCCAAACCTGATTCTGACACCAAGCCGAGGCTAGCAAATTCGCCAGCCTCTGCTTGGATGAAATCCGTTTCTCCTTGTTTATTTGGCAAATCCATTTTTTTGTAATGCGTACCTCAACATTGAAGTGCCCATTACAATCGACGGCACATTACAATAGATGGTGCATTACATGCAAGTATGTATGGTATTTCTAAAGAAAATTTATCTACCTATTTGAATTCTGGTTAATTCTAAACAGAAATTTTTTAATCTTAATAAATTCTGTTTGCTCTGACATGCTTTCAATTGCTTTCTTTAAGAAAGGCTTAAGTTTGTTGTGTGCTTTCATGGCACAGTTATAGTGCATCCTATCTTTTGTGGTGTGTTTTGACCTACAAAATCTTATGGCAAGATATACAGGGTGCAGCAGCATATCTTCCTTTTTTCAAAACTTAATAAAACCCATTGTATGAATCAGAATTTTTTTTATAATGTAGGCGCATACCTAAAGTTTTGTTTTATGTAGTTTTGAAGATCAAATTAGGTAGGTGATGTCCCCCATTCTCCATACACTGAGTAAACCAATTTCTGGCGTTTGTCATGACTCTTGCCAGCATAGCAGGCGTTATGTTGGCAATTTCTTCCTGGATGTTGGTCTTCAAATCTTGTAGGGTCCTTGGACGGTTCACATAAACACAAGATTTCAAAAAACCCCATAGAAAAAAATCACAAGGGGCCAAATCTGGAGAGCGGGCCGGCCACCCCAAATCCCCCCTAATTGAGATGAGGTCGCTCTGGGAAGTGTTCCCCCAAAACAGCAATCGATGCTCTTGAAGTGTGTGCAGTTGCACCGTCTTGGTGGAACCAAATGTCCCCTAAGTCTATCCCATCTAGTTGTGGGAAAAAAATTCCTGTAACATGTTTACATACCGGTCCGAATTCACTGTCACTGCGACTTCATTTTCCTCAAAGAACCAGGGACCAATAATTCCAGCTGAGGAAATTGCACACCACACTGTGATTTTAGGCGAATGCAAAGGCCTTTGATGCAATTCTCGAGGATTGTTGTCAGCCCAGTTAGCGCATGTTTTGTTTGTTGACCGATCCACACAAATGAAAATGGGCTTCATCACTAAAAAAAAACCAATAACGTCCTCAGGAATGACTTCGAGAAGAACCTCACATGCATTCCTCTGAGAATTGAAGTTCCTGCACAATCGCCATCTTATAAGGATGGAAATGAAGATCATCATGAAGAATTCTCCTCACAGGACAAATGAAAAGTTCAGAACGCCGTGGTGATCACAACATTGGAGCTCTCACTGCCTCAATGTTCTCAGGTGATCTAATGGGCCGAGGGACTCCAGTTTTTCGTCTTGTCGCACTGGCAGTTTGTCTGAATGTAGTGACCCACGTCACAATTGATTTCCCGTCCGGGACAGGGGTCTATGGGGCTAAATTAAAGCGATTCTGAAAGGTGCGCTGGGTTGCGATCACAGAACATCTGCTCGAAAAGTAGGCCTCAATGGCAAAAGCACGCTCCTCACTGTTCCAACGCATAATGGCGACTGAACTGTGTCAGGACAAAACTCCCGCCTCTTGAACAAGACTACTAGCACTCCGCTACATCTTCAACTGACTGAATGGCGCACATTTTAAAAAAGGAAGTTATGCTGCCACACCCTGTATATTGCTTGTTCATTGAAATTACTACCATACTGATATAGAATTCAAAACCAGGTAATTTTGAGAAAAGATTTAGCTTGTGATTCAATGAAATTACTTCAGTTGACTTGGCACACAAAAGGTTTAAGTGTTGGAAAGATAAAGTAAAGATGCCATACAAACCAAGGTGGGTGCACACTAAATAACATCAGAGGCAAGTTGGGCTAGGAGTGGGCCACTGCTGCCCAGGCCCGTAGCCAGGATTTCGATTCCGGGGGGGGAGGGGAGTTGTCTGAGTGAAAGAGGGTCTACCCTAGCAAACCTTTTGTATCGTTACCCCAATACCCCCATGCATATGGGATATATTGAGTATGGTGATCAGATCATGATATGAATAAACGTAACAGTTTAAATAATGCACCAGTAAGGCCTTTTCGCGAACCACCATGAGAATTTCGGGGGGGGGGGAGCTGAAGCCCCTCAAGCCCCCCCCCCTCCCCAGCTACATGCCTGCTGCTGCCATCTCCTCTGAGTGCCACACCTCACTCCCAGTCCAGGGGAGTGTCCTAAATACTGTTTAGTTGGGTGGTCAGTCTTCAAACAATGTGAACACGAGAGCCTTTGAGCCAGAATTACATTTACCACACAGTTTCAAATGACCTTTTCCTTCACATATACACAGGAGTCCAATGGAATACAAACTACACCTATTAAAAATAGCCATTTCAAATATGGGATGCTTTTTGTTGTGCAAGGTGTTTGAAGATGATGTACTTTGCTAATGCCAGAAATCCTTCCTCCTTCTCCTCCCCTCAGAACTCTGATCTTTTCAGCACATTGGATAGCACCCTTTTAGGTGCTTGGCATTTCTGACTCTATCTTGGGGCCCAGTGGTCACCCCAAAGGTAAATTAGAGGGGGGCTAGGCAAGTGTCATCCTGGGAAATGGTGTCTAATCAATTGTGCTGCTTGCCAAATGGACACGATTAAACAGACGTGCCCAAAATTGCTGGATAATCTGGAGTTTTTGGAAAGTTTTAGATTATCCAGCAACTTCAGGTAAGTGGGCCAAGTTACTGCCAGATGAGCTACATGTGTTGGGTAACAACCACAGAACTGATCCTGTCCCCCATATTAAGATGCATCCTAAGTGAATTCAAGTCCCCAAGACTAGAGGAATTACATCCAAAGGTATTAAAAGACCTGCAAAAAATAATTTCAGAATAATTGGCGATAATATTTGAGAATTATTGGACTGGGAATTGGTTGACCAACAAAACCCAAAGGGTGTTCACCAATTACTCCTTTTCATCTTGGAGAGCAGTGATTATGGATTTTTCTTCCTGGGCCCAGTGCTATTCAACATCTTTAAAGGTTACTTTGGACCCATCTAAACTGCCAGAAAATGCAGTGGAGATGGAGCGCTAGCCTGAGCATCCAAATGACACATCTAGTTTATCTGGAGTAAACTGTTTAATGCAGTTTGCACCTGGTTTAAAAAAAAAACTTGCAAAGATCCAGATGTTCAAATCTTCGCTCCCTGTCCTGCCTCCTGCCCCTTCAGTAAACTTAGGGAAAAACTGAGTGCGACCCCATGGTCAGAAATACTAAAAGAGAAAGGAGATAATGATGGATGGGAGTTTCTGAAAAGCGAGACAATGGAAGCGTGATTTCAAACATTTCTATTGAGTAGGAAAACAAGAAAGTGTCTAAAAAACCACAGTGGACATCTAAGGAACTTTCAACTAAGCTAAGATTTAAAGGGGACATAAAAAAAAGGTTTCAAATGAATAAGTAGCATGTATGGAAAGTTAGAAAATCCAAATCGCAGAATGAGCTCAGGCTTGTTAGAGAAATTGTAAACAATAAAAAGATGGGTTGTGTGTGTGTGTTATGTCCATAAAGAAGAATAAGGAAATGGTAGGGCAATGATTACAGGTGATGTGGAAATGTTAACAGGGGACAGAGAAAAGGGCCCTTACCAATGGCTCCTTTTCATCTTGGAAAGAAGTAACTTAGGGTTCTGTTTTTAACCCAGTGCTATTCAACATCTATATTAATTACTTTAATGATGGAATAGAAGGCATTTTTATCCAATTTGCAGATGACACCAAATTGGGAGCAATAGCTAATACCCCAGAAAATACAATCAAAATCCAAAATGACTTTTACAAATTAGAAAGCTGGACCAAAAATAATAAAATGATTTTGACAGTGAGAAATGTACAATACTACACTTGTTGTTGGTGTTGTTGTTGTTCATTCGTTCAGTCGTCTCCGACTCTTAATGACCTCATGGACCAGCCCACGCCAGAGCTCCCTGTCAGCCGTCACCACCCCCAGCTCCCTCAAGGTCACTCCAGTCACTTCAAGGATGCCATCCATCCATCTTGCCCTTGATCGGCCCCTCTTCCTTTTACCTTCCACTTTCCCCAGCATAATTGTCTTCTCTAGGCTTTGCTGTCTCCTCATGATGTGGCCAAAGTACTTCAACTTTGTCTCTAGTATCCTTCCCTCCAGTGAGCAGTTGGGCTTTATTTCCTGGAGGATGGACTGGTTGGATCTTCTCGCAGTCCAAGGCACTCTCAGCACTTTCCTCCAACACCACAGTTCAAAAGCATCGATCTTCCTTCGCTCAGCCTTCCCTAAGGTCCAGCTCTCACATCCGTAGGTTACTACAGGGTACTACCATGGCTTTGACTAGGCGGATCTTTGTTGCCAGTGTGATGTCTCTACTCTTTACTATTTTATCGAGATTGGACATTACTCTCCTCCCAAGAAGTAAGCGTCTTAGGCAATAAAAATGAAATGCACAGACATAGGATGGGTGACATCAGATTTCTGTGCATGACGTGATAACGTGATCTTTTGTTTTCCCTTAAAAAAATCATAGCTCGTCACTGACCAGCGACCCCACAGAAAAACTTTCGTGACCAAAAGTCCTAAACACTTGGAGGGCCAAAGTTTGTCCAAGCCTGAACTATAGTATTGTAAAATGTGAACAGCCATTTAGAATCACCTTCACTTTGTAAACAGAAATACCATTTGGTTCCTGAATGACCAAAACTTATTGCTGAGGGACCCATCCAATTTCCCCTCTGCATATTGTACTTCTTACCTTCACTTCCACATGGGCCATCAGGACAGCGAAGTTGGTTAGGTGATTACAGGAACATGAGGTGTGTGTCTTGTTTGTCACCAGTAGACGACATCCTTGAGTTGACCAATACCCTGTCATTGTGCGTTTAGAATAGCTCCAGAATGAACAGTTGGGGTTGAAATATTCCTCTGACTGCTACATATATAAAATAAAATACAGACAGACAGAATGGAAAGCCTACATTAAACACATTCCCTCAGGCACAAAAGCAGAGGTCAAGATATTGCAAGTACTACCTCTTCATGCTATACAAGTGTTTCTTATTTCAGGAAAACGTTTGTTTTTTTCAAGACCGGCAGCCATCCTAGATTACATTGAGCTCTCCAGAACTATTTTATTCTGCTTCCTCTGTAGAAAAAAGTTTAATGAGTCCATGTGGTTAAAACAATGGTAGTCGCTTATTGCTGGATCATGGCCATTCTCCTTCTGTAGCCAGGATAAGGGAATTCTAGGTTTGTTGCATGTCAAAGTTCTTGATGGCAGGAGGACAACAAATCCAATAAATAACAGTTCAAAAAGCAAAAATGAAATGGTAGCGTTGATGATCAAAAGTGAAAAATGTGACCAAAAGAAATCATGCACAAGGTCTTTTTTCCATTTTCAGATAAAAAGATATCTTAACACACACATTAAAATGTAACTAGATTTGCAATGTGTGCCTAAAAGATGTGAGATATTTGAAAAAAAAGTCTTAAAATTAAGTTTTTATTGAGCGAATTGATGGCATACAATTATGTCTAATTGTAGTGTATAATTGTAATTGTTTGTACTGGTATTGAATTTTGCCATTACTTGTGTGTAAACCGCTTTGAATCCCCCTTGGGGTGAGAAAAGCGGTATACAAATACTGTAAATAATAATAATAATAATAATAATAATAATAATAATAATAATACAGAATGTGAGAAAGCAAACAAATACACATAATATAGGTATGCCATTCCCTCAAACCCACCTCCTCCTCCCCTGCCCATGAACCATGATTTCTGACACCATGCGGTGTATAACTAATATCTCAAAAAACAAAACAAAACCCCAAATCTACCTTTATCCTACATTAATAAGTTCTCTTTGTGACTACTCTGAAATCTAGCTTAGTCTTCCTTTCTAGATATACAAATGCAAGCCTCCATTTCTTAACAAAGTCTTCCTCCCTGTATGCGTTTGGACAGTCTGACCATTTGGATACGTTCAAATAATTTTTCTCTCCAGTCCTTTAGCATGAGCTCTTTTTCTTCTTTATAAGATTTTTTTGCCAATATTATTCTCGCTGCAACAAAACTCTATTGACAGATTTCTACATCTTCCTTACTGATTTTTTTTATCAAATAGCCCCAAGAGGCACATCTTTGGATTTTTCCTAATCTTTTTAGTGATCATATTATTTGTTTATTTAATCACGTTTCCCCAAAAAGTTTGTACCAACTTATAGGTCCATCATCTCCAACAATCCCTCCAGCCTGGTGAGATTTATCTATTTTAGCTATTATCTCTGATGCTATATAGCTTCAAACATTTTGTACATGTTCTCTTTAATAGATCCTGCTATCGAACATTTAAATTATCTTTCCAATAAATATTCTCAATTATCTAACTCAATATTTTCTCCTAAATATTTAGGCCATGAGATCATTGCTGTTTTTATTCAACTATCTTCTAGGTCCTCAAACTTTTTAAACAGAGGGCCAGGTTACAGTTCCTTGAACTGTTGGAGGGCCGGATTATAATTTGAAAAAAAAAAATGAATCAGTTCCTATGCACACTGCACATGTCTTATTTGTAGTGCAAAAAACACTTTAAAACAATAAATAATTAAAATGAAGAACAATTTTAACAAATATAAATTTATTAGTTTCAATGGGAGATTGGGCTTGCTTTTGGCTGATGAGATAGGATTGTTGTTGTTGTTGTTGTTGTGTGCTTTCAAATTGTTTCAGACTTAGGTTGACCCTGAGCGAGGGCCGGGTAAACGACCTTGGAGGGCCGTATCCAGCCCCCGGGCCTCAGTTTGAGGACCCCTGTTCTAGGTTGTATTCTAATATGTACCTATATAATCTGGAAATCAATCCCTTATTCCTCTTTTCCAAAATGCTCTTCAATTCCATTTTTCTTTTAGCAAATCCCACTTTATTATCTTTTTAAAATCTATTGTATAATTGATGATAGAAAAACCAATCATTTATCTCTAACTGTTCTCTTCCTTTTAATTTCCAGTGCTCTTTTTCTTTAATTAAATACTCCCTATAAATTCTCATTTCCTCGCTAAAAATTGGATTTAACCTTGCTTCCAGAGGACGCAGTCATAACAGGGGGTTTTTTTTTGTTCCATCCCCACCTCATATCTTTTCCAAACTGCTGAAAGACTAGTTCTTATGGGATGTCTGTGGAAGTCTCTATTAATCTTATCTTTTCCATACCATACATACGCATGCCAGCCAAATCTTAGGTTGGATCCCTCTAAGTTGAGGAAAGCTTGATTTTCTAATCTTACCCACTCCATTAGCCAGCTGAGACTTACCACTTCATAATGATACCTAAGATCTGGTAGTGCTAAGTCCACTCTCTCTTTGGCAATTTTAATTTTTTCCCCATTTCATATAAATTTAGTCAAATCCTTTCTCCAAAGTTCAAACATTCTCACTTCTTCTATTATTAGTAGATTTTGGAATAAAAACAGCATTTTGAGTAAGATCAACATTTTTATCACTGCTGTTCTCCCCATCCAAGTTAACTGAATCCTTTGCCATCCTTCCACATTTTCCTTAAAAAAATCCTTAATTATTTTGAAATACGTTATTTTTATTGGTGAGCCATAATCTTAGATATTTTGCCTTACAAGCTGATACATTCTCTAATTCATCAATATTACTTTTTGACAGATTTTTGATTAAGAACATGAAATTCTCTTTATTTTGAATCCTGTCACCTTCCTATACTTAATAGTTTCCATCAAGCTTTGAATACTTTTTAATGGGTCTTCTATAATGTACACCATATCATCAGCATATGCTTTGACTGTGAATTCGTGTTCTTTTATTTCCACCCCTTTAATACAGTTGTCTTTCCTAATCCTAATATTTAATATTTCTAACATCCATATAAAAAGCAAGGTGACAAAGGACACCCTTGTCTCGTTCCTTTTTGAATCTAAATATAATTTGACATTTGGCCGTTTATCGTTAGTTTCAATGTTTGTTTTGTGCAAGTAGCACTGACCACTCCTTTTAAATTGCTGATCTACCCCATAATGAACCAATACTTTTACTATAAACTTCCAGCAAACGTTATCAAATGCTTTCTCTGCATCTAGAAATAAAAGCACAATTTCTCTGTTAGGGTCTTGTTCAGCAACCTCTAGTAGGACCATTCTCACATTTTGGTTTAGCTGTCTGTTTGGAAGAAAGCTTGCTTGGTCTTCATGTAAAATCTGAGCTAGGATTAATTTTAATCTATTAGCTAAAATTTCTGTAAATAGTTTATAATCACAGTTTAGTAAGGAAACTGGTCTAAAGTTCTTAATTCGTTCTACATCTCTGTCTTGTTTGGGAATGAGTACTATCGTTCGCAATCGCGTCTGGTGGGAACGAGAGACAGGGCGTTCTTGGTGGTGGCTCCCCGGCTTTGGAACTCCCTCCCACTAGAGATTAGATCTGCTCCCTCCCTCCTGACTTTCAGGAAATTAATAAAGACCTGGCTGTGGAATGCGGTTTTTAAGGACTGATCTCATAACCTCCGTCCACATGGAAGGAGGAGGATGAACTGTGAACTGTGACTATGACTGTGACTGTATGACGATTTGGCTTGGGTAATGAGATGATGATGTTTTTACTGTATGATTTTAATCTGTAACGTTGATGTACTTTGTTTTTGTATATTATTGTAATTTGCATATATGCTGTAAACCGGCCTGAGTCCCTCGTAGAGGTGAGAAGACCCGTATAGAAAACTTCTAAATAAATAAATACAAATCCAGAATCGCTCCTTTTTGAAGCACTTGATTCATTACTGAGAAGAGAATTGGAACCAGTTCTTCTTTATATGTCTTATAGTAAAAGGCAGAGAACATGTCTGGGTCAATACTTTTGGCATGTTTTCAGGAAAACAGGAAACGCAAACAGCTGAAATATATGGTTTCCTTCACTGTTGGTATCTACTTACCTTAATGTGCCTGACAGTGAACACCACAGGATCAGCCAAATAAATCTTATTGCTGAATTCTTTGTTTATTGCTGCTGTGATAATCGGAGAATTGACTATTAAAGAATGATTTGTTGACATTGCTTCCATCCCCAATTTCATGGTGGCGTTCTCTGTGGACAGGTAGGGGCCCAGGTTGTTGTACAGGACAAAGGCCACTCGGATTTCACCTAGAAAGAAAAACAGGATAATGGGTAAATAAGCACCAGAATAATAATCCCTTTCTCTAATGCAGAAAAGCCATTCTTAAAGAAACAATTTTGTCTCATAAGGAGCTGCAATAATGGATAGGGATTTTTCCCATAGCAAGTTCAAATATGTTCATGTTATCTAGTTCACAGCAAAGCTAACCCAGGCATATGCATTTGGGGGATTTCTGTTGGTCATGGGGGTTCTGTGTGGGAGGTTTGCCCCATTTCTGTCGTTTGTGGGTTTCAGAATGCTCTTTAATTGTAGTGAACTATAAATCCCAGTAACTACAAATCCCAAATGTCAAGGTCTATTTCCTCCAAACTCCATCTGTGTTCATATTTAGGCATATGGAATATTTGTGTCAAGTTTGGTCCAGATCCATCTTTGTTTGAGTCCACAGTGCTCTCTGGATGTAGGTGAACTACAACTCCCAAACTCAAGGTCAATGCCCACCAAACCCTTCCAGTGTGTTCTGTTGGTCATGGAAGTCCTATATGCCATGTTTGGTTCAATTCCATCCTTGGTGGAGTTCAGAATGCTGTTTGATTGTAGGTGAATTATAAATCCCAGCAACTACAACTCCCAAATGTCAAGGTCTATTTCCCTTAAACCTAATCTGTGTTCATATTTGGGCATAGGGAATATTCGTACCAAGTTTGGTCTAGATCCGTAATGTTTGAGTCCACAGTACTCTCTGAATGTAGGTGAACTACAACTCCCAAACTCAAGGTCAATGCCCACCAAACCATTCCAGTGTGTTCTGTTGGTCATTAAAGTCCTGTATGCCATGTTTGGTTCAATTCCATCATTGGTGGAGTTCAGAATGCTCTTTGATTGTAGGTGAATTATAAATCCCAGTAACTACAACTCTCAAATGTCAAAGTCTATTTCCCCCAAACTCCATCTGTGTTCTATTTGAACATATAGAGTATTTGTGCCAAGTTTGGTCCAGATCCATCATTGTTTGAGTCCACAGTGATCTTTGGATGTAGGTGAACTACAACTCCAAAACCAAAGGACACCGCCCACTAAACCCTTCCAATATTTTCTGTTGGTCATGGGAGAACTGTGTGCCAAGTTCGGTTCAATTCCATCGTTGCTGGGGTTCAGAATGCTCTTTGATTGTAGGTGAACTATAAATCTCAGCAACTACAACTCCCAAATGACAAAATCAATTTTTTTGAGTGAAGGACATACATTGGGTTGTTAGGTGTCTTGTGTCCAAATTTGGTGTCAATTCGTCCAGTGGTTTTTGAGTTCTGTTAATCCCACAAACAAACATTGCATTTTTATTTATATAGATTAACACCTGCAATGGAATCACCTGCACAATTCTTTTCACGAGATATCATTCCTAACTTAACTAAATAACGTGGAAAGCAGCAGCACTCTACCAACTCTTTTACTGAATAAGCAGCACACTAACAGACTTACATTATACCGTAACCTGTCTTTCAAAGGGAACAAAAATATATCATCTAATCATCAAGGAGAAAACAAAATAGTCCATAGTTCTGTGACTGAGGACAAACTTTGTAGGCCAAAGGTCCCAGTTTTTCCTCACCACAGGAGTTGTAGTATGGATTTCTGCCATGTGTCCTAGAAAACTATTGACAGTTAAAACAATTGGTACTAGGGAGAAGCATACTTGATTCATGTTGTTATACTAACAGTTGCAGCAAAACAAAACAAAACAAAACAAAACCTGAAATCACGTATATCAATATATACTTTAAAAACAAAACCATTCTGAACTGCCAAACTTACCATTTCGACCATTCTGTTTCAATGTGTTTGCTGACAGCTGGATAGTACTACCATAGACTGTATTCTGTGGAAACTTCAGGCCTTCCAAGTTTCCTTCGGTACTTAATCTTGCTACTTCCAGCTCTATCAATATGAAAGAAGTAAACACTGAATACATGGAAATCAAAGAGACCAACTGGTAACAAATATTGAGGGCCAAATGAGAGTTTTCTATTTTTTTGAATGCAAAATTATTTATTAAAATCTACTAAGATACATTAAAAAATATAAACTTTACTGAACACATTCTAAATATCCCATCTTCTAATAAACTGGCATTCTCATCCCAATTTGTTCTTCCTACTTTCTGCTCCAAAATGAAATTGTTTACTTCAATACCTCCCTCAAAGGCCACTAATACCAAAGCTTTCCGGTTTTGTTCTTAAATACACAGTCAATAACACATTTTTCTCATAAATGGAAAATTGAAGAGTTGAGGCACTATTGCAGGATCACGCCACCCTCCCCCCTGCCCGCCCCGCAAAGCAAAAGCAAAAGCAAAAGTGTCAGATGTCTCCTTATGGTTTTGGAAAATGGGAAATCATAGAATCAAAGAGTTGGAAGAGACCTTATGGGCCATCTAGTCCAACCCCCTGCCAAGAAGCAGGAAAATTGCATTCAAAGCACCCCCGACAGATTGCCATCCAGCCTCTGTTTAAAAGCTTCCAAAGAAGGAGCCTCCACCACACTCCGGGGCAAAGAGTTCCACTGCTGAACGGCTCTCACAGTCAGGAAGTTCTTCCTCATGTTCAGATGGAATCTCCTCTCTTGTAGTTTGAAGCCATTGTTTTGCGTCCTAGTCTCCAGGGAAGCAGAAAACAAGCTTGCTCCATCCCCCCTGTGGCTTCCTCTCACATATTTATACATGGCTATCATATCTCCTCTCAGCCTTCTCTTCTTCAGGCTAAACATGCCCAGCTCCTTAAGCCGCTCTTCATAGGGCTTGTCCTCCAGACCCATGATCATTTTAGTCGCCCTCGTCTGGACACATTCCAGCTTATCAATATCTCTCTTGAATTGTGGTGCCCAGAATGGGACACAATATTCCAGGTGTGGTCTAACCAAAGCAGAATAGAGGGGTAGCATTACTTCCCTAGATCTAGACACTATGCTCCTATTAATGCAGGCCAGAGGCAACTGAATATTCCCTGGGGACAAACCCTTTCACCTTCCGTGTTTGTGAAGTGATTTCCTACTCCTCCTCTGAGATTCCTTCTCTAGGACAGTGTACTCTGTTCAAAAAACAACTTTCCCTGTAATATTTGGAGTGTGGATACTTGGGCCTCAAGGTGCTACACCTTCTCTTCCAAGAGAGTCACCAGGTAGTGATTTGCTGCAGGCAGTCACCCACTTCCTCTGACAAAAACATAAACATTCCAAACTTTTGCAGGTGACTTTATCTCCCTCCTCATCTATTTTAGTAGGAATATGTAGGGAATGGAACAGAACTCCCTCAACCTCTCCTGAAAAACAGGCCTTACCTGTTTGCCTTGCTCTTATATGCCAAGCTCTGGGGACTGGAACTGTAGCTTAGAGAGAGCTAGCGGATGAAACCAGAAGCCCCATCAATTTCACAGAAGCATGGTTTATTGCTAGAAAAACCAGGTAGGAGTACAATGGAATACCAATGAAACATATTCCCCTCTCATTATTTCTGCTACTTACGAATATTGTCAGTACTCTCCCTCACAATATCAGTCTTGAGAAGGTTGTCAGCCAGCACAAAGGCACTTTCTTCCACTGTGTCCAGTAACATGGTTGCTGCACGCAACTGATCACTTGCAGGTAGATCCCGCCAGGCATTCAAAGCCTGTGGCTGAAGGAGGTTATTGACCGTTTCAACCATAGCCTATGAAGAAAAAGAAAAAGTTGATTTTTTTGTGAGACTCTTCCTCCCATTACTAGGAAGTTGTGTTGGTTGACTACAAGGGATGTTACTTTATGTATTTATTTATTTATTTACGACATATATTTATTTACACCTACTTCCCACCATTTCAAAGTTGGTGTGCTGCTTCACCTTCCTGTTTGTCTCCTAAATTCCAGTTAGCATTTCCAACATCATCCTTAGCTGACTGAAAGTAAGCCTGAAGTGTTCCAAGCATGTGGCCCCAGTACCAAGAGCTCATTCTGGGAGGCCAGTAGGGAGACAGGAGTTGTGAGCCTCTCTCACACACAAACATGCACCTCAGAGGTGGGCCGATTCTGGCTCCACAGAGCCATCAAATCTGTGGAGCCAGAATCAATTGTAATTTTCCCAATATTACGGTTGTCCACAATGTGAGCTATAAGTCAGAATTTAATTTTCCCAGTAGCTGTCAAAAAGAGTACAGCAGCTGGATGAGCTCTCATAATTGCAGGCCCAGACTGATCTCCTCTGTCCTTCTTGACCACCAATAACTAAGAGACTATGTTTTGTGTAAGGCAGGGAGACTGGTAGTCACTTCTTGGTTGATGGGTGATGAAGTACTGATGAAGTACTTTCCACATTCCCCGCATGTTTTTGCTGGAGATTTTTTTATGGCCTCGTAAATTTGTTAAATTAACCTCCCCACACATAGATAGAATCATAGAATCAAAGAGTTGGAAGAGACCTCATGGGCCATCCAGTCCAACCCCCTGCCAAGAAGCAAGAATATTGCATTCAAAGCACCCCTGACAGATGGCCATCCAGCCTCTGTTTAAAGATAAGCTTCCAAAGAAGGAGTCTCCAAAGAAGGAGGCTCCAAAGCTTCCAAAGAAGGAGCCTCTACAACACTCTGGGGCAGAGAGTACCACTGCTGAACGGCTCTCACAGTCAGGAAGTTCTTCCTAATGTTCAGATGGAATCTCCTTTCTTGTAGTTTGAAGCCATTGTTCCACGTCCTAGTCTCCAGGGAAGCAGAAAACAAGCTTGCTCCCTCCTCCCTATGACTTCCTCTCACATGTTTATACATGGCTATCATGTCTCCTCTCAGCCTTCTCTTCTTCAGGCTAAACATGCCCAGCTCCTTAAGCCGCTCCTCATAGGGCTTGTTCTCCAGACCCTTGATCATTTTAGTCGCCCTCCTCTGGACACATTCCAGTTTGTCAATATCTCTCTTCAATTGTGGTGCCCAGAATTGGACACAATATTCCAGGTGTGGTCTAACCAAGGCAGAATAGAGGGGTAGCATTACTTCCCTAGATCTAGACACTATGCTCCTATTAAAATTTGTGTCTGAGTTTTCATTAATGCCAACCTCATGTCATTTTCATCAATTAATCTGTTTTTTTTTGTTTTTGTTTTCATTTGAAGAAGTGAGATATGTAGAAACAAAGAGGAACAAAACGTGAAATGCAAGCATGGTGACATTTGGATAATGTGATTTTTTGTTTTCCTTTTTAGAAATTTTCATAGCTCACTACTGCTCGACGACCCCACTGAAAATGCTTTGCGAGCCCATTTGGGGTCATGATCCACTGGTTGGAGGTTGTAATAGGCTAGTTGAGGACTGGTGATGTGAAGTGGAGGTCTGATAAAATGGAGACTCTGTGGATTAGTAGTCTAGAACCTGGATAAACAACCAAGCTTGGGGATAATCCTGGGTTCACTGTTGTCACTGAAAGGTTCAGTTGCTTGAATGGCTAAAAGTGACTGGGGTCATCTTGAACTGGTCTGTTGGTTGTGGCCTTTCTGAGCAGGACTACATAGCTGGCAACGTCCTAATTAAACTACTCTACACTGGGCAGCCCTTGGAAATGACTCAAGATGTTGCCCACTAGTCCAATTCTAGCAGCAAGATTGCTGAACTATCTTACAGAAGACTTATAATACTGTTTCTGAAGGAATACTACTGGTCACCAATATACCGTATATACTCGAGTATAAGCTGACCTGAATATAACCCAATTTTACCACAAAAAACCTGGGAAAACATATTGACTCGAGTATAAGCTGAGGGTGGGAAATAAAGCTGCTACTGGTAAAACAAAATAGATACCAATAAAATTATATTAATTGAGGCACCAGCAGGTTAAATGTTTTTGAACATTTACATAAAACTGTAATGTAAGATTATTATTATTATTATTATTATTATTATTATTATTATTATTAACTTTATTTGTACCCTGCTAACATCTCTCGAAGGACTCGGTGCGGTTTACAAAGGCCAAGGCCCTCAATAAAACAACAGCATAACAAATACAACAATAAAACTCAAAAAGCAAACCAATAAACATTAAAGCAATAACAGTAAAACAATAAAACAATAACATCGTGACACATTTAAAAACTAAGATAAGACTGTCCATCTCTGATTAAACCATTATTCTAACCTTCTTCAATGTAAATGTGCTTATATATCCTTTCAATAACAATACAGTAAAATAATAAATGTAATACAAAATAATAACAACAGAATAAAATAATGGAAATGTAATAATAGAGTAAAATAATGGAAATGTAATAACAACAATAATAAATAGAGTAAAATAATAGTAAGTAAACTTTATTACGGTCAATGACCAGCTCATAGTGTAATAAAATAACAGAGTAAAATAATGTAAATGCAATAACACCAATAATAATACATAGAGTAAAATAATAAATGTAATAATAATAGAGTAAAATAATAAATGTAATAATAATAGAGTAAAATAATAAATGTAATAATAATAACAATAATAAATAGAGAAAAATAATAAATGTAATAAAATAATAATAATAGAGTGAAATAATGTAAATGTAATAATAGAGTAAGATAATAAATGTAATAAAAATAATACTAATAAGAGAATAAAATAATAAATAATCTTGACTCGAGTATAAGCCAAGGGGGGCTTTTTCAGCCTAAAAAAGGGGCTGAAAAACTAGGCTTATACTCAAGTATATACAGTAACTCCATTCTAAATTCAAGGAGATGCTGATTACATCTAAATGATCAAAATGTCTTCATCAAAATTAATTTTCTCTTATCAGCTATAGCAGCATAGGTAAAAGTTTCTCCTGACATTAAGTCTAGTTGTGTTCGTCTCCAGGGGGTGGTGCTCATCCCCATTTCTAAGTTGAAAAGCTGGCCTTTTCCGTAGACACCTCCAAGGTTATGTGGCCAGCATGACTTCATGGGGTGCCGTAGCAGAATAGCTGGCTTAAAGAGGAGAGCATTGAAGCAGTCCCAGACCTGCCACATTCAGATCAGTCCTATTCCTTCCCTTATGCGGGTTAAGTTCCTAATGTGGCTGCTCTAGAAGACTATGCTCATTTGGGGTCTCACCCTGTGGAGGGTAAGCCTCCCTCCAACAGGACTCTGCCTTTATTTTCCAACAATGTAAAATATTACAAATTCAAATGGGAAAGGTATCTGTCTCCTGACTAACTGGCTAGCGGCAGGTTTGCAGAAGCACTCCTAGCCAGTCATAAGAAAACTTTGCTAGTATCTTCTTCTGTGTTTCAAATTGAATATTGTTGTCAATAGCTCAATACTGCTTGTACGTACTCTGAAAATACACAAGGCTAACTTTTTTGTACCAGACTAGTGGGGAAGGCAGTGATGGCAAATAAGATAGACAGTACACTAAGGTGTTGGGGCTGCAGAAAGAACTGCAGAATATTTTTGCCTCCCCTTCTTGCATGCTAGTCAATCTCATTGCTGATTCATGTTTTTTCAGAGCCATGTTCTGCCAATTTTAATGGGGGTTTATTATGAGCAAAAGTGTGCTGGTTAAAATATAAGATTATCTGGGGATCATGCATTAATCATTGAATTTTTAATCTGTTTAATCTGATTTTAATGTTGTCTGTAGGGCAGATTAACAATCTTTTGATCTTTTTCTCAAGACATCATAAGCCAAAATCAAGAAAACACGCTTTTCAAATTACTGCTGTTCTTTTTAAAAACTCTTTTATTTAAATTATTATCCTATTTTATTCAAAATGTGTCCCCATACTTTGCTTAACATACGAAAAGATCACCCCTGGATTTAATGTGTGATTTCTGAAAAGCTGACGGTAGAAAGTCTATTTACTATACAAAATTGGGGGTGGGGTACCAACAAAGTTGGTTTTCTGAACTTATTATCGAGTGAATGTCAAGACTCATGAGAGCTTAGCTCTAGACTATTTCCAGTATTAAGATAATATACTATCTTTAGAACATAATGCAAAAAATAACACTTGAGGATCTGCAGAATTCACATCTTTAGCAGGATCAGGATCCTCAAGAATTATCTTAACGCATTTGCCCCTACGTCTCACCTCGCAATTTAAGATCATCCAGGGAAGCCCTGCTCTCGCTCCCGTCAACAGCGCAAATGTGGCTGGTGGGGACAAGGAGCAGGGTCTTCTCGGCTGTGGCCCCCTGCCGATGGAACACACTCCCAAAGGAGGTAAGATCTGCTCCCTCACTCCTGACCTTTAGAAAAAAAATAAAATCATGGTTCTGGGACCTGGCCTTCGGACAATAGATGTATGCAGCTTTTAGTGGGACAAGGACTGGAATGGCGACTCGACTGATGAGATTGTTTTATGGTTTTAATAACTGTTTTGATATTTGATGATGTACTGTTTTTAATATAGTTTATGTTTAAACTGTGGTTTTACTATTGTAGTTGTAAGGCATTGAATTTTTGCTATTATCTATGTGTAAACTGCTTTGAGTCCCCCTCGGGGTGAGAAAAGCGGTATATAAATACTGTAAATAAATAAATAAAATAAATAAATTATTTTTCCATGGGTAAAAACAGATAAAATAAGAGTTGAGGGAAAGAGCATGAACTGGAATTCAAATTAGGGATATAGGTATACGTGTGAAGCTATGGTTTTTCTTTCTTTCTGTGGAGCTGGTATTCCCTTCCACTCTGCACAGATTGCCTCTGAAGACTGCCCGG